TAATGCTGGGTTAGGCTAGGCATTTTAGGCTGAGGCTGTGACATATGCTGGCCATCTCATCAATCGTCTGTCGTCATCAGCGATAGGAGGAAAAATACCATTGGAGGAAATCTGCTACTGATTATGATTTTTTACATGTATTTGGATCCACTGTTTATTATCATGTGAAGGAATCCAAGCTTAATCCGAGAGCAAAGAAGGCTTTCTTTGTGGGAATCACCCATGGAGTGAAGGGATTCCGCCTTTGGTGTTTAGACACCAAGAAGATAATTTGTAGCAGAGATGTTACCTTTGATGAATCTGCCCTTGTAAAGAAGGTAACAAATGAAGCTGTCCAGACAATTTGTACTCCACAGCAGGTGGAGCATACTCCAAAACAGATGGAGTTTTAGCAGACGATGATCCCAGAAGTTGATGCAGCTGATTCTTCAACTCCAATAGAAGAATCAGAAGATGAATAGGTTCAAACCCAAGAACCATTGGAGACACCAGAACCACTTGCAGTAATAAGGCCAAGAAGAGAAATTCGTAGACCTGTTCGATTTGTTGATATGGTGGCCTATGCTCTTCCAGTTGTTGTTGATGATATCCCTGTCACTTACCAAGAAGTAATACTAAGCTTGGAAAGTGATAAGTGAAAAAGTGTCATGGATGAAGAAATGAAATCTCTCCAAAAGAACAACACTTGGAAACTGACACAATTACCGAAAGGTAAAAGAGCAATTGGATGCAAATGGGTATTTGTAAAGAAAGATGAATCTTATAGCAAGAAAGATGTTCGCTACAAGGCACGGTTGATAGCTAAAGGCTACGCTCAAAAGGAGGGAATCGACTACAATGAAGTATTTTCCCCTGTTGTGAAGCATTCCTCCATTAGAATATTGTTGGCCTTGGTAGCACAATTGAATTTGGAGCTAGCTCAACTTGATGTAAAGATGAATTTCTTGCACGGTGATTTAGAAGAGGAGATCTATATGACTCAACCAGAAGGATAAAAAGATGGTGGTTGTGAGAAATGGGTTTGTAAGCTGAACAAATCGCTATGTGGATTGAAGCAATCTCCGAGGCAGTGGTACAAGCGATTTGATAGCTTTATAAGGAGGCAAAAGTACACTAGAAACAAATATGATCATTGTGTGTATTTGCAAAAGCTCAAAGATGGATCTTTCATTTATCTTCTCTTGTACGTTTACGATATGTTGATCGCTTCGAAGAATCAAAGGATATAGACAAATTAAAGGCTCAGTTGAATCAAGAATTTGAGATGAAAGATCTAGGTGAGGCCAAAAAGATTCTTGGTATGGAGATAAGCAGAGATAGACAGAGAGTGAAGTTTTGTTTAACACAAAAGCAATATCTGAGAAAGGTATTACAATGTTTTGGCATGAATTAAAATACCAAACATGTAAGTATCCCACTGACTTCTCATTTGAAACTTAGTTCTCAATTATCTCCTAAAACTAACGAAGAACGATAGTATTTGGAAAAAGTTCCATATGCTAATGCAGTTGGGAGCTTGATGTATGTAATGGTGTGTACACGTCCTGACATTTCACAAGCAGTTGGAGTTGTGAGCAGGTACATGCATGATCCTGGAGAAGGACATTGGAAAGCTGTGAAATGGATTCTAGGGTATCTCCAACAAACCGTGGATGTTGGTTTAGTTTTTGAACAGGATGAAACACTTGGTCAGTGTGTGGTTGGATATGTTGATTTCGATTATGCTGGTGTTTTGGATAAGCGTTGATCAACTACTGGGTATTTGTTTACTCTTGCTAAAGCCCCACTAAGTTGTAAGTCTACATTGCAATCTACGGTGGCCTTGTCTACTACAGAGGCAGAATACATGGCAGTTTCAGAGGCTGTAAAAGAAGCAATTTGGCTTAACGGGTTGATGGAAGACTTAAGAGTTGTTCAAAGTCACATTAGTCTCTATTGTGACAGTCAGAGCGCTATTCACTTAGCGAAAAATCAAGTCTACCATTCAAGGACTAAGCATATCGACGTGAGGTATCACTTTGTGCGGGAGATCTTTGAAGAAGGAAAGATTCTACTTTAGAAAATTGCGACATCAGAAAATCCTGCAGATATGATGACCAAGGTGGTAACAGTAATCAAGTTCAATCATTGTTTGAACTTGATTAACATCCTGAAAGTATGAACACCTTCGGGTGTGTGGCGCTTGTGAGCGCAATTAGAGGCACTACAAATTTGGGGAGTTGAAGAAGTTGAGTAGGCTTGATAATTTCAAGCCAAGGTGGAGATTTGTTAGATTTAGCTTGAAATTAAGTTGGCAAGTTGGAAATTTCATCTTCGTTGGTGGCCAACTTATTGGACATTTCATCTTGGTTGGTGGCCAAACTTTGAACATGAGAATTTCATATTTGGTGGTTAACTCGTACACATTAGAAAATTCTTTGGTAGGTGGCCAAACTTTGAACATGAGAATTCCATATTTGATCCCTAAAATATTAGGTTATTTATAAGTTTAGTCCTTAAAACTCAACAATAAATAGGCCTAAGTATTTCCTTTAGAAATCATCCCAAAACAAGTTCTCTCTTCCATTTGTTTTCTTCATTCTCACTTTGGGAATTCTAAAGAATTCCATTTGTTGTAATATTTTGTTGATAGTGAATTATCATCCGGTGTGGTGCCCCGAGAGTAGACGATATTCTCGTTGAACCTCGTAAACTTGGTGTGTTCTCTCCTTTATTGTTTTTTATTCGGGTTTTCCATTGTGTTTCAATATTCAATAGTTTGATAGGTTTATCCGCTGTGCAACCTTTGGTGGTTTTGATCTTGACATGTTAAGTCAATTTTGAAACTACGTCCGTATGGGAAATAACCCGATTTCCCTAACATGTACTTGATTGGTCTTGCACAACTACATCTTTAACCATGTATGATTGGTTGAAGGTAAGTCTATCATATATAAACTGCTTATGCATTGTTCATGTAAAACCCTGAAATATTTTTGTTCCTTGAAGAAACTTGCATGCTCAATCATTCTAATGTTAAGCTTTCTATGTAGTTGGAAGATATCTATGGAAGCTTGTTTCTTGTCAAATGCGATGCGGATCTAAATACCAAGAAGGAAAAAAACAGACAAAACTAAGTTTTGCAGTGGCATTTGCTTGTTCTTCATACTGATTTTTGTCATATGGGCCCCAATGCTGTAAGAATCTGAAACTATACATTTAGTTTTTGATGTTCCAATAATTTAAATTCCATATTTGTTGGAAGAATTCCATAGCATCAACCACTCATCTATACAGTTTGGGGAATGCTTGGGTTTTATTTCCACAGATGTACAGCAGTGGTAACCCAACAAACATTGCCAACCCCATCAGGGAAGCCAGTGTTCAGGTCAATATAGATACGAGTAGTGGAAGGCTTACATTGTTTGAGACCACTTTGTGTGAAAGGATATCATGTAACAAAGTAAAGCACAAACATCTAGATCTCGATCCGCAAGGCTACTTAGACAATTACAACGAAATAGACATTCAACTGATATGTTGCCAAGCTGATGCAAGCAAAGTATGGCTTGTTCCTCCGGTCGTCCAAATCCCGATTTATTGAATCTCTTCACCGGAGCATGGGAATTATTTTCTCTTGTCAATTTATGAGAGATAGACCGAAAGGGAAGGAAGTTGTGAACATCAGTTACTTGTTGAAGATGATGATCTTCCTACACCTGCAGAAGTAATGCAAGTTTAATGGAACTGCCAATAGTTTCAGGATCTTTAACATCTATCCAAAAATTACCGGGTTACCGTTCTCTGATTTGCGGTTTCTCGAACAGTCGGTGTGTCAATACACATATAAATCCACCCGGTGCTGATCATTTAGATTCATCATCAGTTATCTGTTGAGGTAACAGTAAACATGATAGTTTTTTACATGTTGATAAGGTTAGTGGGGATCTTATTCTCAATCATGGAAACCAGAATGGTGGTCTTTTAAGGACATTGATGTATTAAGTGGAACCGGATGCTTTGAGTTTGCCGGACCAGTGGCCATAATTGTATCTGAGGAAACACCACGTAAGTTCTATTAAGATCTACATGCAAAATACATATGATAGCTGTTCAACCATTTTATTTGGATTAACTTCTTTTTCTTTTTATTTATATATTAGTGTGTGATTGGATTCGATTGGTATGTTTGATCAGAGGGCATTCTTGGGGATACACTGAGCAAATTCAGCATTTGGGCTCTTTACATTACTTTTGTGCTGGCTGTTGGCCGTTTCATCAGACTCCAGTGTTCTGATCACAGAATGAGAATACAATTTGAGAACCTTCCTTCTTGTGACAGGTGCAAACACATATTTGGATTGATGCCCTTTTATTCTAGACATGCATGTATGTTCATGTATATATATTTTTATTCAATTTCACACCAGTGTCACACTAAATCGATGTTGTTTCCATTCGACGCGTATTTGTTTATGTACAGTGGATAAGGTAGTGATTTACGATGGCTTGAATACTAGGAAAAGAAATGATTAAACCGACGATTTATGATTTATCTCTTCTAATTTGGGCGAACAACTATTAGTCGGCGATGGTATAAAGCTCGGCGATGGAACAAGTTCTCTCCTTAGAGGAAAAAAATCTCATTGAAATCCCAAGGGATACTTTATCATATATCTTGAAAATATCTAAATTTGATATTTCTGCTCCTGTTCAAGTTACATATAACGGAATACTTTATGTTGATACAGGTTGCTTGCAATATGTGAGGACATATATGCAGCAAGAGCAGAGGGTGAGCTTGAGGTTGAAGAGGTTCTTTACTGGACACTTGGCAGCATCTATCGATCTCCACATATGCTGCTCCAGTACACTAAGCCTGACTAATTTTACATTTATCTCTCATCAATTGAACCCAGATTTAACAGTTAGATTCTTTTGAGATCTTATAGCAGAATTAACTCCACTGTACTCATTACCAAGAATACATCAAAGCTTTCAAGTTCAAACTTCAAATTGTATTTTTTTTCCTTCAAGGAGCATTTAATAATTTTACAGTCCAGAATTAGCAGACTGTTCTTCCGTAACAAATTGCTGCAATGTACAGATTTTTTGCCCATTTTTCCTGCAACAATAAACGATCATCACATAACTCAATAAGAATGATGTTTCAACATAATAAACAGAACAGATATTAAACACTTGATATCTATTGTCGAGGCAACATACGCCACTCGTGTTGAAAAAGATAGCTAAAGGGCAAAACTCAGGATATACCAACCTTTACAAGGGTGCTCGGAAAGGCAGATGTACGAAGAGTTTCATCTGTCATTTTTCGTTTTGGAATGCGAAGAACGAAGGCAGCTTGATCTCCGGTTGCAGCCATGGATGTTATTCTAAAACCGCTCTCCCATTGCCGATGTATTCCTTTGCTTGGATATAGAAAGTCAAGCTCACAACCTTGAATAATTGAAATGAGTATTAAAAGTAAATCAGGTAACTTTGGAAAAAAATGTCTTTAATAATCATAATGTGATCACTAACTTAGTCGAAACGCATAGGCGGATCTAGGGGTTACATATGTATTCCTTTGCTTGGATACAGAAAGTCAAGCTCACAACCTTGAATAATTGAAATGAGTATTAAAAGTAAATCAGGTAACTTTGGAAATGGAGGGCAGCGGAGAACTGAAGATGTATGTAAAAGATCTAAAGAAAAGAATAGCTGATCAGAGAATCCTGCGTTTCTACAAAGGAAAAGATTCACTTCTTGATGTTACGTGGAAGCCTTCTTTCCACTTCTTGTTTATCCACTTGAAAGGAAAAGAATCACTCACTTTGTATGACTGCAGGGTGTAAAGAGTTCCTACAAAGTTGGTGGAATTTTGATGACAGCTTAGTGATAGGGATCGGAAAAATAGTAAATAATTGAATAAAATTGATCTACATTATAATAAGTCATGTCATTTGATGAGTAAACTTATTTTTTAGTTTAAAGTTGTATTTATTCAATTATACCTATTAGTGTTTTTACGAATTTCTTCATCAAAGGTCATAACATTTTGATTAATTTCATCTCCTTTATATATAAGCTAGTTAAGGCACAAATATAAGACTCTCACAACTCTGAATAGGAAGTCACTTAGAAATTCATTCTAGATCCGTTCTGTCTAGTGATAGAGAAAATCAAGATTGTGTTCGCCTAATCACTACAGTTGTGTTTATTGTTGTGATCATTTGTTGTTATAACATGGGAAGTCGACATCCAACGTTACTCAAAGCACAAAGGATATGATGAATTTATCTTAAGGAAACTGTTTATACATGTCTCAACAAAACTTCATCTTCTGTTTATTTGACTCAGTTCATCCGATTTCAAGTCAAAATACGAGTAAACGGTTTCATTCATTTACTTCAATTCTTTATTTATTTTGTTTATTATTATTATTTTATGTCTCAGATTAACTATTTTGTCTAACAATAAAGTCTATAATTTTTAGACTCGGTGCGGGTTTAGAATACAAGTAACATAGTTAAAAATATAATTATTTGGATACGAATAACATAGCTCAAAATATAATTATCTAGATACGAATAACATAGCTCAAAATGTAATTATATCTAGTTTCAGTCATCAAGAAGGAAAATATTTAGCAGGTTATCAACTTATTTTCCCGCTGCTCCACAATGCAATCCTTATAAAATAAATGAATAAGGGGTTGGCCCAATTCAAAAGTGGACAATGTTTCAAGAACCATAAAGAAGGAAAAGCCCAAAATCAAATAAATTAATATTTTAAATTATAAAAAAAATGTGGAAGTGGAGACATGGTGGCATTTGAATCATTGTTTTTTGAGAGATTACCCAAAACCAAAAAAACATAATGTCAAAAATAGTGTCACCCTGGCCTTTTCTTTTTCTTTGGAGCACCTTTTCTTTTTAATGTTTATTTTGAGTTAAAATAATCATTTATTATAAAATTATTAGTTGATTAATCGTCAATATTCGATATTAAGGTAATATGTCATGGTCAGTAATTTTTGTGAGAAAATATAGATTTGATCCGTGACAAACCCAAGCCCAAGAGTAAGGAATGGAGAAAAACTTTCAAATCACCAAATCAAACTATTTCGATTGTTTAATTGATGAAAATATTATATTTAATTTATAATCGTTATATATATTTGATTGGACTTAACTTTATAATTAAATTTTAAGACCATCTTTTTTAGTATAGTTAACATGTTAATTTTATTAAACTTTATATTTAGCTCATTTTATTTGATGTTTGGTGCGCTACACATGCATTCTAGTTAAACTAAAAACATATTAATTTATGTACGAATCAACTTACTTCAGTGGTTAAGGAATTGTTGTTATTCTTAGAGGTCACATATTCGAGCATATTTAGAACATATATTATTTTATAGTCATCTTAGCTTAATAAAAAAACATACTAATTTATTTTCCCCCAAAATTATTTATAACTATTTGCGAACATATCAGATAAATAAACTTTAAATTTATTATATTGTTTTAATTAAAATTTATGTATTTATTAAGTTTATATCAAAAGATTCGTAAAATTACAGAACGTGACATATTAACATATTGATTGAATAATTTGCAATTAAAAATAACGTTTAAGACTTAAAATAATAGAAGATATAATTTAAATTTGGATTAATTACATAATTGATGACTTATGTTTGTGTTTGATGATAATGATGCCCTACAGGTATGGACTACAGGAACAATGGGAGAACTCAGTCCGTTGAGTCCCTTTCGTTATAAATATTCGATTTGAGACCTTAATGGACCAACAGAGGACTACGAGTCTCCGGCATTATTCGATTTTGTGGTTGGCTTATGCAACATACAGCTGACTACTTTACATCACCTTGTTCAGTCTAGGTGATGCTCCGGATATTTCTTAATTACCAGGTTGTGAAGATCGATGGACGTGTTATTGGTGATGGTAAAGTCGGGCCGGTTACTCGAAGATTGCAAAATGCTTATAAAATGCTGACAGAAGAGTCGCCATTATCGATTGGCACATCTGGAGACGATGATAATTGGAGAACATGGATGCATACATGAACTTGTTGTCGAATACTGCTGTTCGGTATGAAACAGATTGTGAACCACTCTGATGAACTAGCATCATAATAAAATGTGAAAACCCATTGTGTCATCTGTGATGAATAATGTCACCAATGTTCTTTTTTTTTTTTTGAAACAATAATGTCACCAATGTTGAATCATATGTTCTTAACATATTCACATTCATGGCTTAAATATTTTAATGTTGTTTCAATGAACAAAATGAGAACTATAAAATGAAAAAACATTCAAAATAATGTGATATTAATATAATTTACCCCATCATTTAATACAAAATGCAATATGGAGAAAAACTATAAAATATAATACATGGCATAGTACAAATATATAAATATGTAAAATCTATAATATTAACAGGATTCTTGACCTTGATTACAATTTACAAGTTTGTGTTCGGAACATTAGAGCTGGATTATACTGGAATCTTCATGTCTTTTAACCCTAAAAATAAAATAGAAAATCCCAATATTTTTGCATGTGGTCCACGTAGAAGCCCCAGAAACCTTGAACTCTTACATGTCAGTAAAGCACAGGGTTCAATGTTGAGTAACGAATCCCAGAAAATGGCACCTGTAAACTGCTTGACAAATCAATCATCATCCACAGAAGAAGAATTATCCATTTCTCATATATAAACAGCTTATCTGCTCATCTGCTCACCTTCCAATTCGGTCTGTGTTTTTGTTAGAATATATTAGCATATATTCTCTTATTATTTGTATATATCTTTATTTAATTAGTCAATATTTGTTACTATAGTTTCAACGATCAATTAGCTAATTTGTAGCCTAAGTTTATGCTTGTAACTTGTATATATTTCTCTAACTTATAATGCAATTCTCACAGAATCAATTTCCTTCATGATATCAGAGATTGTTTTCGATCCTATTTCTTGAACCCTAGCCGTTCATCTTTTTCTTCTTCCCTCATTCTTCTTCTCACTCTCAAACATGACCGAAAGCACCAAATTTCACCCTGTCCTCACTATCACAAATGTGAAATCTCTTGTTCCTGTCACATTAGATAACGAGCATGCTCTGTATCACTCATGGGCTGCCTTGTTTACCAACCTTACTCGGGTTCACGATCTCTATGATCATATTATCCCACCCACAGAGGAAACTGCCATACCAACATACCTTGCGGCAAAATCAGTCGATCCTGCCATGTGGAAACGTCTTGACGCTGCGATTCTCTAGTGGATATATGGCACCATTTCCTCTGACCTTCTCCTTGCTATTCTACGACGTGATGACAAAGATGAGGGAGCATGGAAACGACTCGAAGCTTTATTTCAGGACAATAAGGCTTCGAGAGCAACCCACCTCTAAGAAAACTTCACCAATGCTTTTTTCGAGGAACACCATACCATCGATAACTACTGTAATTACCTTCAATCTCTTACAGACCGGCTTGCGGATGTTGATGCCCCGACGTCAAATGGACGGCTCGTGTTACGTCTCACAGGTTCCTTGCTAGAGGCATACAGTGGTACGGTTGATTTCATCCAAAATCAAGAGCCCCTACCTTCGTTCGAAAGTTGTCAATCAAGTTTGAAAATGGCAGAATGCACCATCAAAGCACGTGTCGCACATGAATCCGGGACCCGCTGTGGCACAGCCATGGTTGCAGCAACTAGCAATGACTCCTCCTCTACTCCTAAACGCAACAACAATAACAACAAAGGGAGCAACAACAACAAAAATAAGGGGAAAGTGAATGGGTCCGGTCAGTAAGGTGGGGCCAGTGGTGGTCAGTCTTGTCAGCAGCCACGTCCTCAAGCTCCGTCACAATGGTCACAGTGGCAGCCAAGTTGGGGAGGGTGGAAAATTCCACCTTGTCCTTTCCCTGCCTATTCTTGGCATCCACGACCCAATTACATGGCTCAAAGATCATCTGCTAGGCCTGGTGTGCTTGGGCCCAGACCTCAAGCCTTCAATGTTATGACTCCATCTTCGGCTCCCTCTACTGCTAGTTACACGTCAGCTGATATTGAGGACGCCATGCATGCTCTATCTTTCTCTCAACCCGATGGAAACTACTACATGGATACTGGCGCGACATCTCACATGACGGTGGATGCAGGTATTCTCTCGTCTTATTTCAATTCAAGTACTAAAAATCATAACATTGTTTTTGGTAGTGGTCATTTAATTCTGGTTGTCGGTCACGGTAGCACTAATTTACCCCCACCTCATCCTCCTTTTGTTCTTCAAAATGTGTTACATGCTCCCAAACTTATTAAAAATTTGATCTCTGTTCGTAAATTTACCACTGACAATATGGTTTCTATTTCTTTTAACCCTTTTGGTTTTCCGGTCAATAATTTATAGACGGGGATCAGACTTATGAGATGTAACAATATTGGGGACTTATATCCACTCTTCTTCAATTCTTAAGCCACATCACCCAACCATTCAGCTTTTACTACTATGTCTCATGATATTTGGCATAATCGTTTAGGTCATCCTGGCGATACTATTATCAATTCTCTTCGTAGTAATAAATTTATTGAATGTAATAAGGCTTGTAAGACTTTTTGCTCATCTTGTCCTCTTGGGAAACATGCTAAATTTCCTTTTTATGATTCTTTATCATACACTTTTCTACCGTTTGATATTATTCATAGTGATATTTGGACTTCTCCAATTGCTAGCTCTTCCGGGCACCGTTATTATGTTCTTTTTTTATGACTATAACAAATTTCTTTGAACTTTTCCTATTGCAAAGAAATCACAGGTCAAACAGTTATTCATGTCTTTCCATGCTTTAGTCAAAACTCAATTTGAATGTAATATAAAGTCTTTTCAATGTGACAATGGCACAGAATATATTAATGGCAATCTTGAGCAGTTCTTTGATCGTCATGGCTTAATCTTTCGACTTTCTTGTCCTCACACATCGTCCCAAAATGGTAAAGCCGAAAGACATATCAAAGTTATCAATAATATCATTCGGACCATTCTAGCTCATGCTTCTATGTCACCGTCCTTTTGGCATCATGCTCTATCTATGGCGACATATCTTCTAAATATTCTTCTTTCTAAGGTCTTAGATTATTTGTCACCTGCACAAATCCTTTATCAAAGTGACCCTTCTTACTCGGATTTGCGTGTTTTTGGTTGTTTATGTTTTCCATTGTTTCCCTCAACTACTATAAACAAATTGCATGAATGATCTTCCCCTTGTGCCTATCTTGGTCCGGCTCCAAACCATCGTGGTTCAAAATGCTATGATATGTCTAGTGGAAAAATAATAATTTGTCGTCATGTGCGTTTTGTTGAAACCAAATTTCCATTGTTGAAACTCCACAAAACCACTCCTACAAATTATGATTTTCTGAGTGATAATATTGAATGTTATTTCTCAAAATTTAGCACCACAAAATCCACAGCCTGGCCTAACCCAACGACCCAACTCTCCACCTATTCCTCACACTGGGTTGCAGTCTCACACACGCCGAGCCACCCCCACTTCTTCTGCTGCTCAGTCACATCTCACTCCTCATGTAGCCCAGACGCTACAGCAACCCCCTCCAGCTTCTTCTCCTATCTTGGACTCACCCACCTCACCTGGCCCAAATTCATCACCTACATCCATATCAGCACCACACTCCTCTCCTAGGCCCAATAACCCCATGCTCTACTGCATGACAGCTCGTGCTATCAATGGTATTTTTAAGCCAAATCCTAAGTACTCTACCAATTGTCACGCGACCACCACTAAGGATATTTCTCCAATTCCAAAAACTCCCATTAGTGCACTCCGTGATCCAAATTGGAATTTTTCAATGTTGGATGAATTTAATGATTTACTTGATAATAAGACTTGGGAATTAGTGCCTAAGCCACCGGATGTGAATGTTATTTGCTCTATGTGGATTTTGCGCCATAAATATAAATCTGATGGTTCTTTTGAGCGTTATACGGCTCGTCTTGTAGGTGATGGAAAAACACAGGAGCAAAGTGTTGATTGTGATGAGACGTTTAGCCCCGTGGTTAAACCGACTACCATACAAGCAGTTCTCAGTATTGATGTCTCTAAATCTTGGCCTATCCATCAAATGGATGTCAAGAATGCCTTTTTATATGGTTATTTTAATGAAACAATTTATATGCATCAGCCTATGGGTTTTCGAGACAAAAATCATCCAAATCATGTTTGCCTCTTAAAGAAATCTTTATATGGTTTGAAACAGGCTCTTCCCGTTTGGTATCAAAGGTTTGCTGATTTTGTTGCTACCATTGGGTTATCTCACAGTAAGCTAGATCACTCTTTATTTATTTACAAGAATGTTTCTAACACTGCTTATATTCTGTTGTATGTGGATGACATTATACTTACGGCTTCATCTGATCGTCTTCGTAAGTATTTTATGACTTTCTTGGGTTCTGAGTTTGCTATGAAGGACTTAGGTCCTCTGAGTTTCTTATGAAGGACTTAGGTCCTCTGAGTTTCTTTTTGGGTATTGTTGTTACTCGTCATGTCCATGGTTTTATTATTATCTCAGAAACAATATGCTGCAAAAATTATTGAACATGCCGACGTGTCTAACTGCAATTCATGTCCTACTCTCGTTGACACTAAGTCCAAGCTTAATGCCACCATCGATGCTCCTTTTGAAGATCTGACTAAATACCGTAGTCTTGCAGGTGCACTTCAATATCTTACTTTCACTCGGCCTGTTATATCTTATGCCATGCAGCAGATATGTCTTCATATGCATTCTCCGAAAAATGAGCATATGAGTTCTCTCAATCGTATCATACGCTACCTTCAGGGTACTTTATCCCATGGTTTGCATTTGTACAAATCCACCATTGATCGACTAATCTCTTATACAGATGCTGATTGGGGTGGGTGTCCTGACACCCGTCGTTCCACTTCTGGGTATTGTGTATTCCTCGGGGATAACTTGGTCTCTTGGTCTTCCAAACGGCAACCTACTCTTTCCCGCAGCAGTACAGAGGCAGAGTACATGGGTGTGGCTAATGTTGTTTCTGATTCCTGCTGGATCAAAAACCTGCTTCTAGAATTGCATTGTCCCATTCAAAAGGCTACTCTAGTTTACTGTGACAATGTGAGTGCGATATACTTATCCGGCAATCCTGTTCAGCATCAATGCACCTAACACATTGAGATGGATATTCACTTCGTTTGTGAGAAAGTGGCTCGTGGTGAAGACCATGTGTTTCATGTGCTGTCCCGTTACCAAATTGCTGATATTTTTACAAAAGGGCTTTCACTCGTTCTATTTAATGATTTCAGGGACAGTCTAAGCATACGCGAGCCTCCCGCTTCGACTGAGGGGGTGTGTTAGAATATATTTAGCATATATTCTCTTATTATTTGTATATATCTTTATTTAGCTAGTCAATATTTGTTACCATAGTTTCAGCGATCAGTTAGTTAATTTGTAGCCTAAATTTATGCTTGTAACTTGTATATATTTCTCTGATTTGTAATGCAATTCTCATGGAATCAATTTCCTTCAGTTTTCTCAGCCTTCTTCTCGCCAAAAAAGACTCTTTCTATATTTGTTGTAACTATAATAATAATTAGAAAAAGCTTTTGTGATGGCTGCTTCCTCAATTAAACAACCTTCCCTCTTATTCTCTGTGCTTGTTCTTGTCGTTTTCTTGGTTTCTCATCCAGTTTACAGTGATGGTATTCACTCTCTCTCTATATATATATGTGTGTGTTTAAAATATGATGTTTTGAATCTTTTTACCATCGTCCTACAGATGAGGAAGATCATCTTCTTCAAGGGCTCAACAGCTTCAGGACGTCGGCGAACCTCTCGGAATTCGCCAAGAACAAAAACGCTAACTGCGTCGCCAAGAAGATCGCCGGCGACATGGACGACGACGGCAACCAGCTATGCACGAACCCCAGCAATTCACGAGACAGCAACGGAACCAGATTAACGGACTATCCGAAGGCCATATCGAAGTGCAACATCGATACCAACACCGCGAGCGGCGTGGTGGTGCTGCCCGTTTGCGTGCCGCATCTGGTTCCGACGCTCGTACTTACCAACTTCACTCGGACCCATTACTCCAGATTCATCAACGATTCGAGCTTCACCGGGATCGGTCTCGGTTCCGAAGATGATTGGATGGTGGTTGTTCTTGCTTCCAACACCCCACCTGGGAGCCTAGCCAATGGAGCTTATTCTTATGGAAAGCTTGGGTTAAGTTATTACATTGTATTTTTGTTGTTGGGTTTTGTTAATCGTCTTAATTTGGCGTGAAAATGGTTGGATTTCTTTGTTATTTTTCTTAAAATATTGTTCTTAATTTAATTTTCAATGAACTTGAACCATATATTTTGGCGCGTGTTCAAACTTTCTGTTCATCAATCTCCTTTCAATTAAATCAAGAATTTTATATGCAAAATCTCATGGTAAGGGTTGTTATATTCCAATGTTGAAAAGTATAATAATGTTTGGAAGTTAAATATTCTTACCAAAAGTCCCCTAAACAAAATATTTAATGATTGGTTAACATATATAACCAAATATCGTACCAGTATTTTATTAATCTTTACTATTTTAATATTAAAATATATATCTAAATATCCCATCCAATTTTCATATAATAAATTAATAACAGAGAGCAAACCACAAAAAATAAGCGGTTGCATGCCACATCCACATACAAACATAATCGGATATGAAGGGATTGAAATCCCATCGACCTCTGGTACACGGTGGGTCACCGACAGCAACTACTCCACATTGGCGGTTTAACGACAACAACCAACACCCGCGGACAAACGATCACAGCGACATTTTGAACTAAAATTATGATCCATCTCTGACACTGTTGAAGGTTGGATCTTGAGCGGTAACAACCCATCTCCAACGCCCGTGGATCACCGGCAACAACCCATTTTGGATCTTGAGCGGTAACAACCCATCCCCAATGCCCGTGGTTCACCGGCAACAATCAGCGCCCGTTGAAAGTTCCCTAAGGTGTGATTTTGAGAATACACTACTGACATTCACGTAGAGAAGATAGAATCTTAAGAAAGGGAAGAAAATATTCAGACCGGATATCTGAAAATTCAGAAATCCGAATATTTGGATAAATTTATATTACTATTGGTTCAAGTTCCTTAAGGTGTGACTTTGGGAGTAGACTACTAACGTTCACGTAGAGAAGATAGAATCTCAAGAAAGGGAAGAAAATAATCAGATCTAATTTCTGAAAATTCGGATATCCAAATAATTAGATCAAATTTAAATTATTATTTTAGTTATCTAAAATTTTGAATATCTAAATTTATACACCCTTAGCATCACCCTCTAATTGTAGCTATTTGCATCTTAGCATCACCCTCTAATTGTAGCTATTTGCTGATGTTCGAATTTAGAATCTTTAAAAATATATTTTAAAAATTAGAACTATTTAAATTTGTGGTTTTAAAAAAATATAATTTTAGAAAAATATATTTTCTCTAAATGAATTTGTATAAATTTAATTATACAGTGATCGCAAATAATCAATTTTTAATTGACTAAATTAAATAGGTAATAACTATTTAAATTTTAATAACGTTAATAATTTTATATTTATGTATTATAATGTAAAACAAAAAATACAGATGCTGATCACATGATAGGAGTTTTATTAAGAGAAACCTTAACGTTAAAAATAATTCAAGATTCCTTTAATATTTTTGAAATCCATGTTTTTCTTACTTTGAGATATGCATAAAAAGTTTAATCAATTTAACTATAAAAAAATATTTTGAGCAATCTTATTTAGATATTTTAAATTTATAATAATTTATTAAAAGCTTGGTTTTAAGGAACGTTAATTCTATAAAAATAAACGTGACAACTTATTAAAATATGTAAATATTTTTTTTCCTTTTTAATATTTAATTTTTCTATAGAAAAGAATAATAAAAAAATATAATTCAAATAAACGAGAGAGAAAAACCTTATAAAAATGTAAGAGAATATATTTTGTGTGATAGGATTGTACCTAACTAACCAATACGCGGCGAGCACGTTTTAGTACTTTGAGTATAATAAAATTAAATGAGTTTTGACTTCAACCAACTAAGTACCTTTAAACGATGCGTTTAAACATGGCGCCAACATAAATTATAGCCATCCAGCGTGCTCCCGCTTACGTCTTTCCGTTTTCTTCAAACCAACGACTTTGTACCTTTTTTCCCGAGAAAATTACATCCAAACAACTCCGTCGTGAAAAGAAAATACGCCATGAAAATGGAGTCTCCTGGTCAACGCCGTCTCGACGTCATCCAATCTCACCTCCTCTCCTCCTCCAACACCGGGGATGGCTCCTTTCTCCGCCATAACCTCACTTCCTCTTCACATTTCCTTAACGGTACGGCATCTAAGTCATACATTGCATAAAATTCGAACTCTCAAAGTCCGAATTCGTGTTTTTAAATCAATTCATAAAAATAGAATTTGTTTTTATTGATTTCTTATTTGATTAATGCCGTTGTCTTCTTGTATAACGTTAATAGTTCTTTTACCTTTTTTTAAAAAAAATAAAATATTAACTCTCTATGTCTGTATTCATTTTTGTATATTGTTTAGAATGTAAGTGTTCAGTAGTTTTTTTTTACTGATTGCTTAATAGAGTATATTTGATTAGTTTCGTTCTTTTACGTTAGTGGTTCTTATTCTTTTTAATAATATCAAATCTTTTAGTTTGTTTTGGTGTTTTTATCTAATCATGAAATGGAAGTGTTCAATATTTGTTTTTACTGATTGCTTATTTTGATTGATCAGTCATAGTAGATAATTTGATTAACCTGATTGTGTTTTTTTCTGTTACATTAATCGTTCCTTTTCTTTTTTTGGTTTATAATTTTGTTATAGGTGAAACATACAGTGTGCTTCTTCCAGAGAAGTTGCAAAGTGGAAAATGGAATGTTCATAGGTCTCCTTTTCTTGCTAGATTCTTATTTGCATCTTTCTTTGTTCTGTTTATTGTTTTAACATTGAATTTTCTTATGCAGATCTGTTCGTTCTCCATTGAAGCTTTTGAGCCGGTTTGATGATCATCCTGAAATCGGGACATTGAATGATACATTTGTGTGAGAATATCTCCCTATCTCTCGTTTGTTCGTTTGGCTTTTAACTTTGAAGTATTATATTCTAATTATTCTATGCTTTTCATTTGTTCGGTTACTTAGACATGCTGCCGAGACTTATAGAGATCACAAGTACTTGGGAACTCGAATTCGGGTGGATGGAACCGTTGGGGAGTGAGTTATATCAGTATTTGGTTTTAAAAAGTTTATAATTCAAGTTTAGTGAGAATAATATGGGAGTTTAAGTGTGAGATTACATTGATATGCTTTGTATGTGAAGGTATGAATGGATGACATATGGAGAAGCAGCTAAAGCTCGGGAGGAAATCGGTTCTGGTTTATGTATTATGGGTTGAAACAAGTAAGTAGGTTCGAGGAACTTGGATTCTCATGTTTTAGGACTCCATCTCTATCCAACCATGGATTTGCTAATGTATGTTAGCTTGCCTACACCTAGAACATATTTATGTTTGATTTTTGAATGTTCAAGAACAGATATGAAGGCATTTTTTAACTTTTTTTTGTGTGTGTTGGGACAGGGAGCTTGTGTTGGACTTTATTTTATAAACCAACCTGAGTGGCTGATCGTTGATCAGGCTTGTGCAGCATATTCATATATCTCGGTTCCTTTATATGATACTTTAGGTGTTTCTTTGACAGGATAAATAATTTCTTTTAGTCTCTTGTAGTTCAATTCTAACAGATGTTTTCTCATTATTTTGCAGGACCTGATGCAGTTAAGTACGTGGTTAATCATTCCGCCATACAGGCTATTTTTTGTGATCGATAAACTTTGAACTCCGTGAGTTTCACCTTTGCTCCTACAAAGTTGTGGGTCTATATTTTGCACTGTATTAGTAATTAATTTCCTGCAGACCTTGCAAAATTGTTTGTATTTTGTTTTAGTTGTTGATTTAAATCTACTCCTTATCTCATTCTTTTTATCTTCTTAAAATTGCAGCTGTTGGGTTTCATATCTCTGATTCCTTCTGTACATCTTATAGTGGTATGTACCTGTAAAATCTCACTGCAAAATCATGACAAAACAATACATTTTTTCTAGCTGTTTATTCCCATGAAGATTATGTTTTTCCTTGCATCTTTTCCTATGCAGGTGGTGGGAGAAGCTGATGACCACTTACCTTCACTTCCTTCAATATCTGGTGTCAAGATCATATCATATTCAACATTAGGTAGTCAGGTATTTAAAGTTATCCAACACTCAAATGCAATTGAAATCTCGGATTTTTCTATTTAATCTAGCTTTTACACTATATAAGCTTATTCCATATTATTTTCCTTTAGGGCCACATTAACCTTCAACCATTTTGCTGTCCTAAACCTGAAGATATTGCAACAATATGCTACACCAGTGGCACTACTGGAAAGCCAAAGGTAGGATTCTTATGATGTTTGAACTCCGATGCAGAGCATCTCCAGCTACTTTCATCTCTTTCCTGCCTTTATTTTCTGCCTAACGCTTACCATCATTTCTGGTTTTCTCTGGAAAGGGTGTTGTTTTGACACATGGAAATGTAGTTGCGAATGTTGCTGCTTTCCGCCGAGTTCTGAAATTCTGTCCCTCCGATGTGTGAGTTATATATCATATCTTCCTCTGACTCACATCTATGAACGAACAGACCAAATCCTCTGCCTCTACAGTGGCATGGCAATTGGCTTCTACCAGGGGGTATGTTACTATCAAACTCTGTAGCAAACTCTTGGGTTGGATGTTGATCTAGCTATCTATTAAACTGATCATATGAAAATTTATAACTTTCACTATATTATGCACAATATCAAGTGAACAGTTGAATATATGTCAAGGCATGCTAAAAGGATAACTTCTTCTATCTTAGATAAATGCTTTTCAAGACTATAGGGTGATAGTCCAGAATAATTCTCTTGATTTGTATCTTGTAAAAATTTTGCATGATGATTCTTTTTTCCCTCATTTTTTTATTTTTATTATTAAATAAAGGATACTAAAAAGGTTTATATCTGCAGATGAGGCTGTATCTATTTCCCTGAATATAAATAGCAGTTTTGTTGAATGAATCTAAAAGTTACCTATAACCAGCTCTCTTTTTTCCTTGTGAATTTGAGTACATTACCGGTAAGGGAAAACGGATATTGTTTCTTCCTATAATGCTATCCTCATCTTAGAAATTTATTTCTATGCTGATTTTCTAAATG